ATCGGGCGTAAAGTTTTCCCCTTCTGGAAAGCTACTCTAATGTTAGCCGTATTCAGTACCCTTCTAATGACTTCAGATGTCCCTGTTTTGTATGGAATGACCGCTATTCCGATCCACTCCTTGTTGGGCCTTGGTGTTGGCACCAATACCCGTCTTAGTTGCCTCTTAATTAAACTCACTGACGGGGCTTTTGTGTCAAAAGCGAAACGTTGTCCAGCAATAAATCCACCGATTGTTTACCAAACCCCTCTGCAAAGAAAGATCCTTACTTTTGCTGGGCTTAGAGATGTTTGTCGAGCTATTTAGATAAATGGCGATATTTGTTCAGCTGTGATGAGTGCCCAACCGCCATGTCACACAAAGAAAGCACAAGGGCTGATATAATGTCCGGTTTCTCAAGCCTCTAAACGAGCAGTTTAGAAACCGGAGATGGGTTCGCACTACCCACCCGCCGGTCGAAAATTATACATTTTGGCCACTGAGTGGCCTAAAGATCGGGCTATTTAGTTGTAAGGATGGTGTGCAGTCATGGACTCTCGGTGCGCAGGTGATGATAAACATCAGACTCTCAAGGGAGAAGGAACTCGCAAAAAATACCATTTTTGCGGCACCACCTTAAAGGACCGCATTTACTCAGAATGAAACATGAAACATAGACATTTAGTTTGCCTCCGTAAACTGTTTCAGTCGAATTATCCTAATCAGTTTCCTCCTCGTGAAGGAACCTTGAATATTTTCCCCACAGATAATCTTTCTGAGGTAGGTGGCAAGACATTCTTAATCCAGCTGACATGGATTCGAAGGCTACTGAGCGGTGTTCATATTCATTGCCTTTTACTGAAGTCGCAGAAACCAGATGGTACCATCTAAACAGTCGGCCCCCTCACGAAAAAGCAGGAGCATCAAAAATGCGTTAAAGTGATATCAGCAAGCGTATTTTTCAGGAAGACAGTACTGTGTCAATGATCCGAATGTTCTGGTCAGCTGACAACCCCCCCCCATCAATGAAATCGACCAGTTGTGATCGGAAATCTAATATCATTGGTTCAGGACCATCACCAAACAGAGTCCCGGACGATAGTAGCTATGCCGGGACATGGAGCGCAGCAACGCATGATGACTCGATGTCCATCGGTCTTCTGGAATTGACCGTTGTTGTCCAGTTGATGATGAATCGCTATGTTTTTACTTCTTATTCGAAATCGGCCAAGCAAAACTAAAAAACAACATCTGCTTTGAAGAAGCGAACGATCAAATTCAATCGGTTTCATCAGTATGTCCGACTCGCAGGTTTAAACAGCCGACAAATGTGGCCTCGATACAACCAATTGGCATAGTCTCTTTTCTCTTTCGTCAAAACTGCGTCTGACTCGCAGGTTTAAATAGCTGAACAATTTGGCCTCGATACAACCAACTGGAATAGTCTCTTTTCTCTTTCGTCAAAACTGCGGAGAATTTCGAAGTGTCTGGTCGAAGGTATACTTCTTCGTATCTGCGTATCTGCACCGGTCAGTTGCATCCGCACGTTCCCTAACGGATGGATATTTCATGCGGATATAATCTATGCTGAAAAGCTGAGGAGCACCGTACAGCTGTTTTACCCTTATTGGGAATTATCAAGAGTGATTAGTTCACGAAAAACGGAAAGTTTCTGACATTTCAGCCAGTGGTTGAACCCTTGACCGTTCGACCACTAGGGGCTAAGCAAAACTGCGCCTACCCGCTAAGCCCCAAGAGGGGCGAAAGCGGTCGTGGGCTGTCGAAGATTTTTCATCAACCTTGTGAGTAGTTTCTTCCGGGAAAACTGTGATTAGCTCTCATTTTTTATGTTTACAGGAGCTTCGGGTGAATCCCCTGTTCTGGAATTCCTCCGATTGAATGTGCCGCACAAGCATTAAGTTTTACTACACCATATAAGAATAGGTTATATTTGCGTTTTTGGAAAGGATTTTGCCCTGTTGGTGAAGCCACTGTATGAAAAAAGCCGAGAGTTATTTTGCGGTTACCTCGCCCTCATTGAAAATCATCAGAAGTGTACATCTCCTTGAGCTCCGGACTGTTTCGACAATGGGACCTCGCGGTCAGTTGGGTGACCGTTCGACCGCGAGCAGTAAAACAGACAGGAAATACCGCCGCTTTCCCCTGGATCACGGGATCAGCTGACCGGCTGATGAATTCTCAGATGGAAGTCTTGCTGATCGGTTAAATTTCGTTCTTTCTCTCTATCCAGCGTAGGTCGACCTCACTTAAAGGAGGAAATATCTTTCAAACTTCCCAAACCACTTCATACTACCAACAGACTTTGTGAAGTTTTTTCCAAACTGTACTTTTTGCTTTCTGGTCTCACCTATGCCTGCGTATCACCAATCAGTGTGACTCGTGGAGATGTAGTCTTGTATAAAACTGATGACGATGGTACACAATAAAATATCGAGCTGAATTTCTGTGTACCGTTTCATCCCATCGTTTGGTTTTGTTCCGTTTGGTCTGCATTATGCAACCACGAATGTTCCAAGTACCGTCGACGTTTTATTATCTAGAGACAATTGGTTGGCCAATTCTAACCACGAACGCGGTGGAACAGTTTGTCGGCTGCCCTCACGTGATGGTCCGTTTAAAGTGATAGCTCACCAATAAGCAGGGGGGGATAAATAAGTCAACTGAGAAGCAATAAACATGAGTTCTTTTCGGTTCCGATGAAACATTCAACAAGCTTTCCGTCCAGATTTGCTTTTGTGCGGAAATCTAGTATCGAAGTACGACAATTTGACAAAGAATTCACAACTGGTCAGTGGCGAAATAAATTGTAAAATACGTCGAAATCCCTGCATTTCTCAAAAATCCTTCCATCTGGAGACAACCGCCTCCCATACTACTAAGCCGATCGTAATGCGCGTGTGTGAATTTTATTGCAACGACAACAGACCAAACTTCAAAGGCCATATGCACTCAAACAAAATTTGGGTGGGTCCTTGCCCATGTAAAACGAATCCCTCTGAGGGAATATTTCTGCAGGTTTGCTTCACCCAGTGAATTATTGACTGACGGACCGAAAGAAGCACCAGTCTCCTTTCCCTTTTCATTCACACGCACACCAACCCGAAATGTACGTTCGTCTGATTCAATACGGGAGAAGCTAGTTTGGCTAGTTCAAAAAACGTGACGTTCATACACACGTGTTTAATCGATAGACAAGGATTCGTGAATTTTCCGTCTTGATACACAGCATCTCGCGATGTACCGTTTAAGCGCTGTGGGCTCTCGGCTGGGTTGACCTGCCCACATTTCGGTAACTGCTTCCTTCATCCCTGTTCCAGCGGGTTTGGACAGTTCGGCTGTGAAAATTTCGACACATTTCGGTCAGTAAAATGACGTTCCCGGCTTAGATATCTCCATTGTTAGCGAACCTCTAGTCTGAACGGACGGTCTCCATATGTAGACAGTTCAGGCAGGGGGAGTAACGCGGCTGAAGCCATGGGATCCAAAGTTCAGAGGTTCTTGAGGTGATGACACACATCATTATTCGGATCTTTGGATCTGGTCGATACATGATCTGAGGTACGAAGCCATTTGAGTAAACTTTGGTCAGCGCGAACTGAGGATAAGGTCATGCTAGTAAGCAAACAGAAAGGGGGATCTGTTCCAGGTAAGCCCAGCTAAAAAAGTAACCCCCGCCACTGCTGGGAATGACTCGACCTACGTGATTTTTACGGCGAGATATTAGCTTTCATCAATCCCGCCGATAACTGTTGGAGTCTGCAAAAGCCGCCAGGCTCAAACTCCGCGAAGAAAGTTTTTCCAGTCAACAGTGGTCGTGTGGCTAATGGATAATTCCTCTGAGCAGAATTTGATTTCTGCCAAATTTTTGGACCAGTAATAAATGAAGAGAATTACTGTCCTAAACACCATCCTAGACCACTCCAAGCCAAGTTCCCCTTCGAAGACCGATTTCTTGCCGACACTGTCAGGCATTACACATCCACCTGTCAGAAACAGTTGAAAGTGTCATTTGGTGACCATTGTTGCATAAACCTTGGTGATGGATCACTCCGTGGCTTTTCAAAAAAACGTATTGCCGTCTCCTTGTCAGGAACGAGAGTTGAAAGTTCATTTATGATTTTACGTCCGAACGGAGAGACGTTTTGCACAATATGATGCTAGATGCTGTTAAGGAATTGTTTTCATCAAAAATAGGTCAAGGTTGTTTGCGTACCTTGAATTGGAACTGGCAAAAAGTGACGGGGATAATTTTTCGCTCATGCACTTTTTGCATTAGTGGTGGGGCTTACCTGGAAATGATCCCATTGCAGTCGCATGGTCGTGATGCGCCCTCGTCAGATTCACAAGTTACCAATTATTACCCAATAAAATCTTCATACAGATTGCAGAGCCACTTATGGATAAGGGTTAGGGACACCTTGATCAATGGGTTTGGTGGGCCGTTGCAGAACCGGTGACTTCACATGATGCTTCAGGTGACAAAGGGTAGGTTGTCGTGGCTTCCAGCTAGTTTAAGGGGACAGTTCATATCGAGGGCCAGAAATGAACGATCGCGATTGAGAATGACGGAGCTATAATGCATACAAACAAACCTGAGTTTGACATCCTAATAGGCAAACTGAAACTGATGGGACAAACTTTGCTCGTATCTTTTTTAATTCAGAAGTCGGGTGAGCAATCTATTCTGTCATGGAGTTGATGTACTTTAATGTCGAGTTGGATCTTCCAAGGGAATACACATTCACAACATCCCTTTACTGAAACATACCTGTGAGAACTGTAATTGGAGGTAGTGAAGAGACCGCAGCTACACGAGTGACTGCGATTTCCCATTCATCCATGAAAAACCTAATAAACAATCATAAAATCTGGCTTGACCTTGAAAATGAAGGGGAATAACGCAACCAAACAAATCAAAAACATGGCTTCGTTTGTTGCAACTGTAACTCAGCTGCCTTCGTTGGTTTTCTTCGAAAGGTATATCGTATAGTAATATCTAAAATCTTTCTGTTCACACTGGGAAAAAGGGAGAAACGGTCAATATATACCTGCTTCCTGAAGTAACCTGAAAGAACAAAGTAGGGTAAAAAAAAGAAATAGAAAATTGGAAGTCACCTTAATCATATTCAAAAAAGATCTCCTGTAGAATGCGCCTCTTCGTAGGCTATGGAATATAGCTGGGTTTAATTAGCCTTGATGCTCAGTTTCTCAGAATACTGTTGCAACGCTGGACACTACTGATGAGGCAGGCGAGTAGCATGTTCCCTCGTAACTCCGCCTTGTGTCTGTTGGAAAGTGGGATTTATTACGGAATTTGTGGAGTTGCTTTGTAGCATTTGTTCACACTTGAGTGTTAGCCAATGAATTTACAGGAAAGTTCAAGAAGAAGATGGATATTCAGTTTATATTGACAAGATGCAAATGAGAGTTTTACTTCCCCGTCCAATAGTCTGTAACTGTTCAGTTGGTGTTTTCTGATTAATACCTCCGCAGTGAAAGCCTTCTCCCTTTTACTGGCATCGAGCAATAAAGGTGCCAGACTTCTTAGGAGATGAGTCTTATCGTACGAATCTGATGGGAAATTTCGTGCAAGTGAGACACTTTGGACGATTCATATGTTCAACATTTACCATTCTTTATAACTTTGAGAACAGACTTGAAGGAAGAATAAAATGGAGTGGGATTCGCTTGTGTTGCTACAAATCCACACACCGACCTGCAGTTGGATTAGGACAAAGCGCTCACTGTCTCCGTGGAAGGTGGACTGAAAACTGAGTGCGCTAGCGAAAGCTTATTGTGTCCTACTTGAGTGAAGTGGTGTGGATAATGATATCGTATCGTATAACCTGATGGTACTCAGCAGTGCGGGGACGCTTGTTAGATCTTTTTGCTTACTGGGTGTTAGTTCTTGAAAACATATCGGTTGTTGACCTCTGACCTCTCCAATTATTCCCAGGAATTTTGTTTCGGGGTGTATTTTTCCGTAGAAGTGATCGTCCTTATTACAGGTGCTTGGTGTTGGTGAATGTTTGTCGTAATTGTATTCTGCCTATTCTATTCTGAGAAAAGTAGTGTGAACATATCTGCCCATAGGACAAGTAGTATATCCAGCCTGTTTTCACAACAGTCTGTCTAAACAGTCCTTCGCTTTTCGAGAAATACATTAATTTGCAAATCAATTTGGTTTTCACGAGAGACTCAGCTAAATCTCTCGTGTATACTATTCGACAACTGAATGTGCTGCACACAGGCCGCCTCTTGTTTCAGTTCGCATGATATTCGAGATATCGCAGTATATTTTCATAAAGGAAGCTACTCACAAGGTTGCTGGAAACTCTTCAACAGCCCACGACCGGTTTCACCCTTCCAGTTCGGGCTCATCAGGTAGGCGCAGTCCCCGAGTTTCCGTCAACCTTATGTTCTACTTGAACCCAAATTGCACTGTTTTCGAGAAATGCACTCATCTGCAAATTAATTTGGTTTTCACGAGAGACTCAACTAAATCTGTAGAATACCATAAACAAGAGACTCAGCAGAGTCTCTTGTGAGAAGCAAATCGATTTGCAAATGCTTGTATTTCTTCAAAAAAGTGCAATTTCGTTCCAAGTAGAACATAAGGTTGACGGAAACTCGGGGACTGCGCCTGCCTGATGAGCCCGAACTGGAAAGGCGAAACCGGTCGTGGGCTGTCGAAGAGTTTTCAGCAACCTTGTGAGTAGTTTCCTGTATGAAAAAAGAGTCTTTCGCTTGTTTTGTCACAGTGATTCTGGTAAGTTTATACTATTGACGAGAAGTAATGGACACATTTCCCGCTCTCATTAGAGCCCATTAGCAGTGCATATCCTTGAACGCGTCGTGGGTTGAACTCTTGACATGTGACATACCGGTTGAGCGACTTAACACTGCACTTCTGACGAGCCCAGAACATCGCGTCTGAACAAACGAACGTATTTACATTTGAGCGGTGACTGATTTCCAGACCGCTCGAAAGACGATCCAGTAAATGTCCTGGTTGTGTTGAACCACCTAATAGGACCTCCCATTCGGGTTTTTTGCCAGGGCACTTATACCGTTCTGGATAACTTTTTGACTAGTCGTTCTTGGTTGCAGGTCAGCTGATAATTCGCACAGTGTAGGCTGATGGGGTGCCGATAAAAAGTTGGCATCGCATATCAGATGTACAGAGTTCGAATCCCGGAACGTCCAAGGAAGGTGGCGAAACTCCAGTCCAGTTCATCCCCTGTTTGATGCAGACTCTCCAGTATAATTCAAGAATGGTTCGAACGTGGATCCTACGACTCTCGCAACCATCTACAGATAGATATTTAGAACCCCTGTCGTGGAAACCAAGGGATACGTCAATTCACTTCTATTATTATGTCTCGATAGGGAAGAGTTCCTCTTCGAAAGTAGTACTTCTTTCCTATACGACAGCACTTTATCTCCATACAGCTTAAGTAAATGTCCTAGGGGGCATTCATGACTTCGTTGTAATCCGAAGACATTTTTCTCCACAGTGTACACGTTTTGACTGGAGTAACTGATTCTTCTTATCAGTGTTAGAGAGAAAAACTTGTTTGTGGCCCTCGGGCCTTAAAAACACCATAAAAACGATCTGGTTTGAGGGGACAAGTTGAACAATGTAATATTGACAATAAGACAAGTGACCACAGACAGAAGGTTTCAAGCGTTGGTTCTCAACCCGCCGACTAGAAGCACAGAATCACGGCTTTAGCTACGTAATTCTTAAATTTGGTTCTCCTCAGGCCCAGAAATCTATTGAAAGTAACACCATTTCCAATTAAGGTCAAAGAATCAAAAATAAACATTGTGGTTATTCGATTTTATTTGAATTTTACCACACAGACATAGATTCCCTCGGCTTGGTACCTATTCCCGTCTGGCGAACGACAAGACGAACAATGTGTTCACTGACACGGTCCTTCCAAACGTACAGATTGCAAATGAACATGGGGTTGAAATGAATCAGAATGGTCAGACAGAATCGGAAAAGATGTTTCATGAAGCAGATGGAAATGCGAACAAGAACGACAACGTAGACGGGAAATCGGAACATCTCAGTGCAAAATCCGGACCGCGTCACAGTTTGATCACTGAAGCAAATCAACATGGTAAGTGCGGAAGAGGCCCTATTTTGATGTGTAAAATGGTCCTCGGAGGCAGTAAAACTTGGACATTCTTAGCCCATAACAAAACAGACCCTTCTTTACTGGGATCCAACTTGTGTCTAACCACGACCAACACCCTTTTTTAGTTGTTCATCCTGCTAGTTGTTCTGGGATGCATTCCACCAGATTTGGAGCCCCGCTCCGGGACGTTGGCTCCGGGAGATTTGCTCAGATCAGTGAGTGATCGCGTATCCCGTTCAGGCACGGACTGTTCTACTAACTGTTCAGCTTCTATTCGGGAAGTTGCCGGTTCAAATCTAGCTATTCGTGAGACGGTTTGGGTTTCTCGACAAATAGATAATCGACTTTTAGCACTTCAATAAAATCCACCTTTCAGCAAAAGCCCGTACTATAACATGCCGTTTGGAGAGCCAACCTAAACAGAATTAGCGCATGACTATTTTCCGGAATTGCTCAAGCAGGACTTCGAATATCCCGAGCCCGAAGAGGTTTGACTAAGCTCAAAGATATGAGAAATAGAATGACTATTCTTCTGCTTTTAGGCACCTTGAAACTTCTGACTATCCAGATTGTGTTATCTCCCCACCATATTCAAAGACATTTTGATATTACATAGCCTTATTTTTTAACTGGGTTTTGGAAGCCTCATTTAGGAACTCCTTCTTTCTGGTGCTTCATATCGGCGAAGAAGACTAACTTGGGATTATACACGTGACCGGATAAACGACTTGGCTAGACTGTAGGCAACGTATCCTCTGGGTCACCCACCTAGTTGCCGGATATTTCGTTAGCTTTATCGCAAGATAGTTGAAAGCAGTTGTCACGACGGTAATCAACAGCAAGCCAATAGTAAACGTGAAGGTGATGGAGCCCGTTCAACCTGTTAACTTTCTTGGTTACTCTCGTAAATGTGCACCAGAATTCTTTCAACACAAGAATCGGGAAGTTACCAGAAGTTTGATTCGGGTGAACTTCTTGATTGGCCTTTAAGGGCTCATTTGACAATGCTGATGACTCCCTGTGTCGATACTGTGGTAGTTCTCCATCCTCAGGAATAGTTCCACGCCAGCCGGCCTTTACAGAGGGGCAAGGTTGAGTTAAAACGACCTTCAGAGACAGAACCTCTTTTGCTAGCTCTTACTGGATAAAACAGACGGACGGGCTTAGGCAAACAAAAACATTATAAAAAAATGAGAGATTCAGATGGGATCTATTTGGGTCATCCGTTGGAACTGAATTGGTTGTAGAATCACTATACTTCGCAAGCACTTGTTTAGCTCTTCGGTTCAACTGGTAGTCTGTAACAATCGAAGGTAACGCCTGGTTGATTTTTTCATAGATAAAGTGGACTGATAAGCGGTGATCCGGCAGCGCGTCTTCAAATTTTAGCATAAAAGTTTTGAGGATGCACAAGCAACATTCATCTAGAGGTTGACCACTTGGAATGGATAATGAGAAGACATAAGGCAAGTGAGATCTGCCAGGTTGTATCGAACGGGGTGGTTTCTCGCCCTGCAACTGTGCTAAACGCCTCCCCTCTGGTTGATCAAAGTGGGCTTAGAATCTCAACATTAAGCCCATGAAGAGTTTGTAAATCCATGAGGTGCCCGTTATTTATAGGTTTTCCTACCGTGTACGAAAGATGTCAGAGTTAAGGTGTGCGGATACGCATGGGATAAAGCGTTTCGCGTTTCTTGTTGAATGGCCTGTGAGTACTAGCGAGCTCGGACACAAAAGAATTTCAAACAGGCACTTTTACCTAAATATCTTTAGTTATTTCCATTCAATCGGAGTTAGATCAACCTCGACGGAAAGGTAAACACCACCGCTTAATTCCAGTGTTATTGGAAATCAGCGCTACATGGATCCGCAGAGAAAGAGTCAACCTCGCGAATCTCGACCACTGAGCCAAGAGTGATTGACTTGCTCTCGAAACAGCCTAGAATCGGACTTGAACGGTTCACGGTCGTGTCACATGACTTGGTATCGAAGGCGGGTTGAAGTTGTGGCAATTTCCCATGCGACTGAGCTCAAGGGTTCCTGTCCTGTCCAATGGTTTTTATTCTATAAGGAATTCTGCAAGTGTAAATTCTAAAATTCGTTCTGGAAGCCACAGTAAGCATATCCAGCCACTGTCGACACTGAGTGATGCTCACTGCCAGACTGTAATAACAGAATGCTGGTGAATTGTCGAAGGTCAGCAGAGCAGTACCGATTGGAGGTGTTTTGAGAGTTTGGTACCTGCTGCTAGAATTATCTTATTTTTTTCAAAATCTGCTGAATCTATGGGAAGTAAGTATATTTATATATTTTGGCAAAGTTCACCACCGTCCAGTTACGCTGTGCGCCATTTCGGAGACCCACGGAAAAAAGTAAGGCGCACAAGTTTGTGGATCCTTTGTAACAAATACTCGCTGAACATTCGTTAGTAAAGAGACCTTTCTCCGCCATTTTTGGCTACTAAATGCATTCCTAATCAATGCATTCTGAATCAAGCTCCTTTGCAACTCAAAAACTGCAGGTTGCTGCAATCTGACCGGCTAAACAGAAGCATTTTTGTTTCTGTTTGCCGCTTCGCAAACAGCTCATGCTGTAAATCACTGGCGATTTGTCAGAACATACTGCGCCACTGTAGACGTTTGACGAGTGTACCAAATAGCATGAACTAGTTTTCTAAAAGTAACGGACAATGGAACGACTTCCTTCACAAAGGAAACTACTCACAAGGTTGCTGGAAACTCTTCGACAGCACACGACCGGGTTCGCTCTTCTTGGGGCACATCAGGTAGGCGCAGTCCCCGAGTTTCCGTCAACCTTATGTTTTACATGAACCTGATGAGCCCCAAGAAGGGCGAAACTGGTCGTGGGCTGTCGAAGAGTTTTCAGCAACCTTGTGAGTAGTTTCCTTTATGAAAAATACACTGCGATATCTCGAATGTCGTGCCAACTGAATCATGAGGCGGCCTGTGTGAAGCACATTCAAAGAGGAAGCTTCTCACAAGGTTGCTGATAACTCTACGACAGTCCACGACCGGTTTCGCCCGACTTTCTCTTGAGTTGATGGTGATACAACCCGTTTTCCAATGTGTGTTCTTTTTCTCTGCGCAGGCCGAACACGAAAGCCAGCCCCTCCACCGCCTTCTCAGCCTTCAACCACAAAATCTGTGCTGCCCTATTCGTCCCCGGACTACACATGCCCTCCAGTACGATCGGTTGCCAAAATGACAGACCTCTCTGCTAGAAACAATGATTCGAAAGGGCAAAAGACCTTACGAGTAGATAAAACTGCTGGATCTGGTTCACGTGAGTGTCCCATTCCCAAAAGTCCACTCTTCTCATCATCAACTTGTCAACTTGAGAGCAATGGAATGATGGTCATGTTTCTGTACGACCAAGTGAGACAGAATGTTGCTCAAAAGAATTTTTCTAGTTTTCTAGTTATCCTATTGGCCTTATTTATACAGTTGCTTGCATTGCTACTTGCGGTCGTGTATGTGGTTGTCGTGTAGGAGCAGTTTTCATATGTTTACTGGAAACGCCTCGAATGCTCACAAACAACTTCGCCATTCTACTTCGGGCTCATCAGGTAGGCATCGTTCCCCATCCGAGTTTCCTTCAACCTTATGTTCGTTTTAACCCTAATTGCACGCAATTCGTGAAAAAGACGCCAATCTGGTTTTGAAGGAGACTCAACTAAATCCCAGCTGGATCTACCGTTTATGGTACTCTTCAAATGGATAAGCAAAAAAACCGGTACGATGTTTGAGATATCGCAGTTCTTTTTCCTTAATGAACGCTACTCATATCGTGTATGAGAGATTAGTCTGGGATGGAAACGAATTTGCTCCTAAAACCAAATTGACGTGCAAATAAGTGTAATTCGCATATGTTTTTGGTTTTGTTTCCCACGCACTGCATTATGCCACCGACTGAGATGGGAAAGTTTGGGGAGACCATGAAAGCAGCATTTTGAAACTGTTCCAGGTGATGACCGGAACCGAGTCACGCTACCCCTGTAATGGTGGATGCTACTGATGGGGGCATGCGAGTAGTATGTTTTCTCGTAAATCCGCTTCACCTCTCCTGAAAAGTGAGATTTATTACGGAACTTGTGGAGTCCCGTGTGCTTGTATTTGAGTAACAGTCATTGAATATCCAGGTAAAGTTCAGAAAGACGCGTTCAAGGAGAAGGTGGATATTCAGTTCTCGTAAACAAGATGCATATGAGAGTTTTGCTTCCCTGTCCAGTATTCTGTGACTGTTCATTTGGCGTTTTGTAGTAAATAACTTCACAGAGAAGGTCATCTTCCTTCCACCCCCACATATTGTGACTGGGTAACCGATAATGTCCCCACCAACAGGACAGTCCGAATTTTGAATGTGCTTTGAATGCCACTGAAAGTTAAAAAGTAGTCGGCTACTGCAGGTTCTCATAACTTGAGAAAGCAAGCGAGTTAACTTCGGCAGAAGTACTACTTCCCTGTCAGTATTCTGTGACTGTTCATTTGGCGTTTTGTAGTAAATAACTTCACAGAGAAGGTCATCTTCCTTCCACCCCCACATATTGTGACTGGGTAACCGATAATGTCCCCACCAACAGGACAGTCCGAATTTTGAATGTGCTTTGAATGCCACTGAAAGTTAAAAAGTAGTCGGCTACTGCAGTTTCTCATAACTTGAGAAAGCAAGCGAGTTAACTTCGGCAGAAGTACTAGTTACCTTGTTCGCTCGAAGAAGGTTTGCACACCGTTAGATCCGATTAGATAGATGTGTGCTTTAAGACCGCATCATTCTTAATCTGTTTATTCTCACTATTAGACAACGCTTCTCTCGCCATTAGACGTTTAACCCAGAGGAATGGATGAACAAGCCAAAACAGTGTGACAGACTAAACAATAATTTAAGGAGACCAAAGAATAGTACAAAGGAGTTTCAATTAAAACGCCGGTGATTAGACTATTAGTTGCTTTGACCCGTGAGATCAAGCCGGAAATAGCTTCCAAAGTTATCGTGAGAACGCGATCGCCCTACCACCCGATAACCAACAAACTACAATATAAGGAAACCCGTTCGAACCATCGTTTTCTTTGGCAGCATGATGTTTTGTTACATATTTGGTGAAGTTCCATGTGAACCAGTACCATTTAACTTGGTTCGGTTGTACAACGTGTGGGAAATGCGCGTCCCACCATAGAGGAATCACAGAAACTCCATCCAGTTCTCAGTGTACTACGTGCTCATGACCACCGTTTAAAAACAAAAAATCGATTGTCAACGATGCATCAGACGCGGCAGTTTTACTTGACTTAATACTATAGGCCGGGGAGATACTCAGCGGTTGCTGTACCAGAGCTCCAAAATCTCGATGGGAAGTTTTCAAAATAAAACTAACAGCATTGAAGATTGTGATTTATTGATCATTCACGAGCGGGATCATGCATTTGTTCCAATCGAATATATCAGGAAGGTCAGATTCCTGAAAGCAACAATGAGTGCCCGAAATCTGAAATTCTTAGCTCCGCTCGATGCTAACCAGACGGACAACGCCCCTCAATATGCAGCGCATCACAGCCTTGTATCAGACCCAGACAGCGTGAGTCAGCGTTGATCAAGGTCAGACAACGCCCCCGCAATATGCAGCGCATCGCAGCGTCGTACCAAAGGCAGACCGCGTGCGTCAGCACTGGACCAAGTTAGTGTTCCTCCAATGAATAGGTTGAGACCGTTGTCTTCTCGCTCTCGCACTCGCTTATTCGGAATATGGCTGTTGTGTTCCCTTCTGTGAGTCTCTTTTCCGGCACCAGGCCCTGGAGTGGGTCAGAAGCCAGATACAACAGATTGGTGAATCAGCAGATATAACCGAATGCATTTTCTGTTGGCTCAGTTGAAGAACATCATAAATGAGATATTTAGCTAGGATTGAGGTTTCCTCATGAATTTAATGTATTTATCAGAATTCATCCAATTTGGGTTCAGTGGGAAGATAAGGTTCGACGGAAACCCGGGAACTGTACCTCCCTAAAGAGCTACAAGAAGGGTAAGACCGGTTGTGGACTGTCGAAGGTCTTCAGCAATCTCATGAGTAGTGCGTAACTTCCATACAACGTACTGTGACTACTATTGAAACATCAGGTGGCCCCCTCCCTAAATACAAGAAGGGTAAGACCGGTTGTGGACTGTCGAAGGTCTTCAGCAATCTCATGAGTAGTGCGTAACTTCCATACAACGTACGTAGACTACTATTGAAACATCAGGTGGCCCCCTGCAGCCCGTCCACACAACTGTGAGATCCACCTGGGATTCATGCGAGTCCCCTGTGGATACCGAAGCACATTTTCGACGTCATTGATTCCTGATCTCAACGGAAGACAAAGGTTGATTCAGGATTCTGGTACAACATACGTTTTCTAATGACTGCCTATCAAGTGGAAGAACGTTTCTGTCATTCATCTGTCCGGGCTAAATTAATTTGTCCCAATAAGTAGCTTGTTTACAAACAAACTTTAGAAAGTAACAAGTTAGCAAGTACTATATAAATCTATGAAATTTTGTGCTCTAAGCCTAAAGCTCTTTGAGCGCAACGAATTACCATTTTGAGTGGTTATCATAGGGACCGAAAAAACTTTTACAGTGCCCATTTTTGTATAAAAATTATAACAGCTGTTGCATTGCGCGGTTTCACTTCACAGTATTGTTCGCAAACTGAAACGTGAGAAACCTGTATTTTCTAAAAGCTGTTTGCGGAAATTTCTTCTTGTGGTTGAAGCTGGTTGGGTCCGATGCTTGAGGCCGTCTTGGACTTGGCAGCCCTTTAGAAGGATCTTATCCTCCGAGATGGCTCAAAAGCTTCGTCTACAGCCCCTGCCAAATGAAGCCCACTTTTGCGCGTTGATCTTCCGGTTCACAAAGTTTTTCTGTTCAGTAATCAGTAGGGGTCCTAATCACTAGGGCTGCTAATATTTGCGGTCATTCATTTTTATTGTGTCTTGGTTTACGTTAGCGGAGAGGTTAGAGTGAGGACCAAATGCCTCCCCCTGTCGCCGATTTTACTCCTGTATTGTGGGCTTTAGTTGTCGTCTTTGCCCCCAAAGTCGGCTTATTCAAACGTATGTGTAGGGCCATCAATCACACCGCCATTATTGTCCCGTTCGCTAGGCCACAGTTCAACCACAGGGGGATGCCGCGCAGACAGCCACCAGACCAACTGGCGTCTGTCTCTCTTGACAGGGCTCTGGTGACTGGACGTTTTCGGGACAATGCAAGTCACAGACAGGATGCTTAGACCGTTTTTCACCAGGGGACTTTGGTAGGCACGGCGTCCCTTGGTGGATAAGCCAAGACCTCGAACTTCCACTGGGTTGTAAATTCTCTTTCGTATAGATGTCTGCTTTCCTTGTGGTTGCAAAGTGATAAACTGTTTTAGTAAACTAACCTTTGTTTTGTCAGGTATAACAGAGATGTGTGGTGTGAAGACATTGCAAGAAGAGTGGTGTGAATTTCCAACCTAACAAGCCCAAAATCTTTGAAGCTCACGAATGACTGGCAAATGTGTAAATCGATCTGCTCGAACATAAGGCTATTTTCGAAAGAATAATCTATTAACACGACGGAACCAAAGAACTCTAACCCACATTTTCGAGAGCTCATTCGAAGTTTGTGGAGTAGTTGTGTTTAAATTGGTTCAGCAACAAGGGACATTAGGACTTATCAAATAAAATTAGTGGTATTGGTCACACGACTCTCTACTAGACCGATTCAAGCTGTAGACCACGTGACAACAGGGATTGGGCGATGGCCAGTAAGCTGAATATGCTGACAAATCAATCACATGGCCAATCGTCTTGAAAAACCTCACGAGCTGGGGCTTCCAGATATACTGAAAGCCAGAATCTCAGCTGACGAATGAAACTTGAGCCGACCGATGACTCTGAACAGGCCTTCGTATAGTTATCTATCGATATCATTCTCTTGAATTCAGTGGCTTACGCGTGGCCCAGCATTCGGCCCAAAGCCCACTGTGCTCAAACTAATCACTGACAGTTCCGTCTCAGGTTGCAATCGGATCGTAACTTTAATGCTGGGTTGTGACTTCAAACTTTTCACACTACTAATCACCTAACGCTCATCTAATTTGGTGGGACCCGAGTTTGGCCTGTGTGTTGAAGAATATCTTGGAGGTCCCACCACACACGTAAGTGAATCATTGTGACTGGGATCATCGGTCCTAATTTTTGCTTTTCACTTTACTTAACGTGGCAATAAATCCATGTGGTGTCAGAGAATCTGTTTCTATCAGCATTGTTGAGAAACCGTGCTCAGGAATCTTTCGAGTATAAGTACGAATTGACCTCGAACATTGACTGAGGGTGCCCAATTCCACTGGTAAATGTTTACTGTGATGACAGCTAAACATGAACAGTGGAAATTCAGTGGAAACTCGACCTGTGTAAAAAACGAAGCAATGTCCTGCATATGTGTATGTATATGGCTCAAAGTAGACCAATTGTTGAGGCGCAAACTGACCTAGCGGATGGTTCTGGTTCGAATCCCGGCTGCTCTTGTCTAGATTTGAGCAACCCTCACAGCCCTCGCGGTTCCTTCGGGTGGCAGGCAGCTAGGCACCGAAGGAGAAATACAGCTGAACAATTATTTTCCATTGTTTATATCTAACCCTCAAATATGTACTTTTGTTAGCTTGACTTTCCCCCAGAAAGACTAACGCATCCAATCTATTTTCCAGTGATTGAGAAATGGGCAAAGGGAACTTTCAGCTCAAAGGTTGTTTTTTTGTCCACGCATGAGATTTGTGGATGAAACTTACCGTACGAATGTCACACAGCCTCATAAATATTCATGGTAAATTAGTCAGTCGAAGGCAATCGTAAGAGGGAATGTCTAATGCTCAGTCTATCTTAATAGAGCGCGAGTACCATTCATCACTCACTGTCATCTCTCTGTTGCTCTAGTCTATATATATATATTTGAGTTCGACGTATTCGTTACTGATGGATGAACGTTGGAGTGCATGACGTCCGGACGATTCATTAGGGAAGAAGACTTCATCCAGCTCATTTAAAGCTATTCGGCTTCAGAAGGGAATTTGAGGAAAAGGAATTTATAAAAAAAATCTCTCCGTATTTCTTGATTTCTTCCGTTTGCATTCAAGCTAAAGCATTCAGTTTGTTCAAAAATATTAGTCCAGATAAATGTACACTTGAGTTTTTGTAACCCACAAGACACTACTATGATGTGGGCGGAGCAACAGAGAGAGAGAGAGAGAGAGAGAGAGAGAGAGAGAGGGAGAGCAGGTTCGAATTGTGTCATTATTCCAACTTTTGTAAGGTTCGGAATTTGGTAAACAGCCGCCTTGGCAGTGGTCGTCATATCTCTTGAAGATACCGAGCCAAGGTTCGTCGGTTGGGGGAAACACAGATGAAACCCAGTGGGGAACTGGTGGGCTTTCCTATATTTGATCTATCGTTTCTAATGCATGCGTACTCCATTTATCTATTTGCTGACAATTTATCCAAAGCCAATGTGTCCTTACCTCCAAATTTTCACGTAAACAATTCCGGCTGTTGATTCCAGTACACAGTTATCCATTAGATGCCTGTTTGCGCTGCTATCTAAAGATCAGGGTCTTGTCAAAGCTGTAAGCTAGACGGATATTGAATTCGTGTCGGCCTCAATCTTGGCTGTGGTTGGTTCATACCGGAAAGAACTACTAAATTTCGGATCGGTTCCTGCTGGAGCCATACTGGGGTTTAAACTTCGTTCACTCATTGATTTTTTAACAACGCCTTCATGCTGCGTGGCTGCAAGCGATTCAGTGTTCATCGAGGTCAGCAGAGTATAGAACTATGATTCGAAGAATGGTTTCTCATATAAAGGATACTGCAAGGCCGAATTCCAAATGAAGGCACTTTCCGCTCCCCATTTGCGTGCAACCAGATTGTTTCTAGCCCCTTAACTTAATTAGATGTTTTTTAACTTAAGTTTATGGGTGATTTGGTGGGGGCAAGATTGCCCAAGTGGTTACAGCGTGAATTAACTGACCGGAAGGTCCGTGATTCGAACCCGACCTCTGCCTTTCGACTTCCCCTGTCTGCGTTCGGGTAACCTGGCAGTATCCCAGCCCTCGTGCTTCCTTTGGGTGGCATGGCAGTTAGGTATCAAAAGGTTGCTACACCTAAACAGCTGAACGGGTGATTTGGTATTCGGAACTTATTTCACTCCATGTTCCTATTAGTCTTTCTAGTTCGATTACGATTATCTGAGTAGTCCATGATCGGTTTTGTTGCCTTGGCGTGTGTCGTTTGTTTCGTGCAAACCAGCTCATGAAGCCTTATACTTTTATCCTATTATCTTAGATTTTCCTGCGTACCCAATCCGTCCCATCTAGTAGACAACTAGACCGGGCAGGATGAGCTTACTAGTCTAGTCTAGGGGTTGTCTGAATGCAATTCATCACGGGAATGCACCCCTGAGACAAACTGGGTAATAGATCTCTGGAGCCTATAAGAGATTGTCGTCTGCACTTCTTGTCAGCAGCGATAGCCTCTGGAGCGTTAGTTGGTGCATTACCTTACGAGAAAGCTTTTGTCGGACACTTATACTAAGTACCTATCATACAACTCGCCGTAGCGTTTTCTGAGCCTTTGTTAAAGATGACTCCTCCCCTCCTTTTCTTTAAGTTTTACGTGGATTCAGCTCAACGGTGTAGTGAAACCTCACCAGTACCGCCACTTATGGTGTCAGAATGCCTTGATACCGTCGCTAACTGACACTATACTGCGTTCGACACTTGTGGGTTGGATGGGTGCAGAAAAATCGATAGAGTTATACGCATGTATTCTATGTGACTGTTTTAGATGCCTCGGCTGGTGCAAACAAATCCAATTCATCCGGGAAAATGAGACTGCCCAATTCAATCTTCCCCCGATGTGGACGGAAACATGGAAATTTCTTGATCTCCCTTTACATCGCTGTCAAATTCTGCTATCTATTTAATGTTATCGGTCAGATCTACTTGATGCAGTCGTTCATTGGCACCAAGTACACATCATACGGTGCCCGTGTCCTTATCGATCTGATCCAAGGCCGCGAGTGGCATCATTCCGGGCATTTTCCCCGGGTTACGTTTTGCGACCTGGAAGCGAAAAAACTTGGCAAGAATCATGTGTAAGTACATCTGATTTGGATCAGTCTGAAGGATGTTTTTTGTTTTCACTAGCATGCATCTTAAAACATCCGGTTTCTCAACGCTTGTCGCCTTGGCACACAATACCTTACTTTGCAACACCAGCTTTGCTTTGAGGGGTTTCATTTATCGACGTTTTGTTCCACTATACTTGCAACATACTCACTTTTACTAACCCCGATACCTTACAGTCATGGCTGTATCGTTTTTCAGTTGCAAGCGTTTGTTGCTCAGGGACGAAACTAGCATTAGGTGAAAGTTGGTAAACGGACTAAAGGCTTATGAAAGCGAACCTTGGACCGAGTAAACTTTGTCCAACTTCTCTAATTACGGTGCTGAGAAATCGGTCTTTGAAGAGCAGAGGTGTTTCACAAAGGGACATGGATGTTACTTAATGCCATATCTCCTCCCCGGTAGACGACAGGCATGTACAGCTAGTGTTTTGAGTGTTTCCACATAAACATCAACTAAGTGAAAATGATCTGTTGTTCACAAGTTGTAAAAAAAACAGATGGGTATCAAATCAGGTTAGCAACTCACGTCCATTGCTTTGAAGCTTAATGTCGGCTTTGTAGCCCAAGTCAGGTTTACTCTGGATCAATGAGCCGTACAATGCAAAACACTCAAGACAGAGAGTTACTTAAAGTCAACTGTTTTCAGCACTTCGTGAAGTTGGGACAGTGATATATGGAGCCATTATAGGTGGGTTTATCCTTACTAATGCCTATTGGACGATGTCATCCTTATCATCCTGCGAGCACTTCATCCGTCCCCGTAAGTTTAGGCTTCGAATTGGAGGGACAACATCAACTTCGAACACACATCAGGCGCCAAATATTTTCTCATCGGGATGAAGGGATTGTGGGCTTGGCTTCTGATGTCAGACACGTCTGGGACTACCAGCATCACAACCAAATTAGTTGGTGATCCCAAACCACGACCTTCATCTACATGACACCTCCTCTATTTCTGAAAAAAAAACAGTGTGAGATGTTCAACTGAAACCGAACTCGGCCCTTATCAAATAATCGGAGTGCGATATCTCGAATATTGTGCCAACTGAAACATGAGGCGTCTGTGTGCAGCACATTCAGTTGTAGAATATCATAAACGAGAGATTCAGTTGAGTCTCTTGTGAAAACCAGATTGATTTGCGATTGAGTGTACTTCTCGAAAACAGTCCAGTTTAGGTCCAAGTAGAACATAAGGTTTACGGAAACTCGAGGACTCGAGAAGGGTAAACCGGTCGTGGGCTGTCGAAGAGTTTTCAGCAAACTTATGATTAGTTTCCTTTATGAAAATCGGGGTGCCAACTGTATCTGATGTAAGCTGATAATCTACTGGAGATGGCGTCACTATAGAGTGTAGTTCATCACCCCAATGTACAGTAACACGTGTCACTCGATAACACCAGGTTCGGTCACAAAAAACGTCATAATCTACGATGTAGAAAAGATTTTTTTCAATACTTTTGGCAGGAAATGAACCACCTTTGGGAGAATACCAACGAAAGTGACCATGCCTCCAGGAAGCACCCATTCTGCTCGACTTCTTGAGGAACTCTTAGACCAATAAGCCCATCAGAAGATCGCTTATTTGTGCTTTACTGCAGGTTGTCTCTCCAGAGGGGTTTCTGATACGATTCATTCCAGTTTAGTATATACCTTACTAGTTATTTTGCTGACTACTCAGAGCTCATTTTAGTACTATGGGCTGCTAAATCGGAATTCTAAAGGCTAACGCAAGACACTCCAGTGAACTTACAGCTATTGTCTAGTAATCACACCGTACGCGACTGCAGGGTCTCGTGACTAGTGTAGCCACATCCCTTGAGCGAAATGATGTCTGAAGTCGAAGAAATATGTTTGAGCATCGTTCCGGATTGACAGACAGGTAGTTTAGGATCGGGAGGCACTGTGTTGTCTTCATAATACTCAAGTCGTATGGCAGAATATCTGTTTGCAAACACACAGTGCTCATTGCGAAACGATGTTGTGTAGGGTCAGGAGAATCGGTCACTGTTCATAAACCTGGTGAAAGCCGCGAGTTGCATCTGCTTGAAAGTCCCACTATGCAGCAGCAATTTGTAGATTTAAACGGTTTGCCTTCCTCTTCAGATGTGATAAGATATGGTAAATCATTCTCGACAGACAACTGAAGGTGCCCGCTGCAGGGGGCTCTAAAAATATTTAGCGTTTTTCTACACGCGTTGACAGAACACCGGAATGTCTCATCTGATGAGGCTCAGTAAATTCAAAAAGATCTGATAAGATGCAAGGAACGTTGCTTTGGGAATTCATATACAACCTGCCTGTGTCAATCAAAATGACCGTCAGATCATATCTGCTGCGTGGTCACGGTATCAACCAATCGGATCACAGCTTTAACCCACGCACACATGAGTGTTACACGTTGACCAATTGGACAGGCTCTTCAAGGTTGACGGCACAATGACAATCAATCCTTATTTCTCCCGTCTTTTGCGGCTCCGATTATTTTGCCCCTGATCAAGGTCATCCACGGTTTTTTACTCCCACCGGTACTTAACCCTAATGAATCCCACAGATTCGTACTCACTTGTAATGAATACGTTGAGGGAATTCTGAAAAATTATCAGAAAGCAATTGTTCCACCTCAGTGAATTTACTTAAGCCTTCCTAATGTCTTCACACTATGTTAGTTGGGTTCGCTTTCTTGATCGTTATCCTCTGTTTTGAGAATTCACAAATCTAGATGCAAGCTAAACCAACCAGACACATTCTGCATGAAAATTCTTTCCCAGCGCAAACGGAGAAGTCGACAAGTACTTGCCAAAGAGGATCAGCGGAACTTGTTTGAAAAAAATCGACACACGGCGTCTTTTAGTTCGTCTGAAGGAGTAGATGGCAAAAGTATCTTTATTCTGAACGCAGAAGCTGGTGGTCAATTTAGTCAAGTGCAAATGTGTAACAAACGGGTGAAAAGGCATGACGAGGTGGTTTAAATCTTATGACAGGCCGCAAGTTTGCATACACATTCGCAATATTCCGAAGAAGACTATGCACAATGTTGGATCTTCTGACCATCAGACTTCTGTCCCAAAAGCATAACAGAATCTAAAAACAGTCTACTCTGAATGAAATTTTGACAACAAATGTTACACACTGGTCGACCACTGGACCATCACGCATCGTTGTGCGGTGTAAATAAATTCAAAAACAAAAATTAAGCCAGCCTGTCCTATATGTCTGTGTCTGTATGTCTGTCTGTCTGTCTGTCTGTCTGTCAGTGTCAATCTCTGTCTGTTTGTCTGTCTGGTCTGTCTGTCTAGTTTGTCTGACTGTCTGCCTGTCTATCTGTCAGCCTATCTATCTGTATGCATGTATGCAGGTATTGAATTAGCAGGTACTGGGACGTTGACAGGTTGTGCTCAAATTACTCGTTGTAGAGGGATGCTTTTTTCCGGAGGTATGACTTACTGCACTGATAGGTGAGTAAACTAGTCTGGTTGTGGCAGCTGCTTTACTTGGGACAATTTGAACACCATCACCGCCTGAAAGCTAGCTTTTTGGAACCTGAATGTGAAGGGGGTATGTAAGTCCTTCCGTACCTGCATGAATCGTCACGCTAACTACGTGTGTAGTGCATTAAAGTGCCTGTGTACGCAAAGTACCAGTGTCCCCAATTGATTCAAAGAGGAATACCTGCGCCTGAGAAGCTAATTCTCTTGGTACGAACAGAAATATTGTTGGTCAGCCAGTCGGTCATTCAATCTTTCGGCTTTAAACTGTGTACCAGTGTGTAGTGATGCGACAACTTCACTACCATCCAGAATAAGGCAAAGAGCCCCAGTTCAAGGTTTTTCGCCTGTTTTATGAACACATCTCCGAACTTTTCAACCGGTAGCTATCATACAGATTTTTTCCGAATGATTTGCGACCTGAGGTGTTGGTGATGACTCACATCGTTACCCACTAATGGGAACTCAAGTGCACTAGGGCTACATTCAATCTTCCCTGCCTGCAATGATATCAACTAACAGGTTTTCTGCCGAGTTTCAATTCAGAGGCCAAGTGTGTATTCATCGTAATTATGCGAACACGGTGGGTGAGTGGTTGTCTAAGCACTCCTGATCTCAGAGAAGATGCCAATCGGATGTTAATTGAACGATACGGGGACAAGAAACGGTCACTGTGCACGCATTTCTGACTAACCGGATAAGACTGCCCGTGAGTTTAACCCAACACGTATCTTAAGCAGCTTATCGTACAACAGGTAGAATGAATATTCGTAATTTACTACTCATAAGGTTGCTGAAAATTCGTCGACAGCCCACGACCAGTTTCGCTCTTCTTGGGGCTCATCAGGTAGACGCAGTCCCCGAGTTTCCGTCCGGGACGGACCTGTGAACTACCAAGCGCAAAAAAACCTGGTTCCAAAAAGTCCTTAGCATGAATTTATCAGTAGTCAAGGGGTTGGTAAATTTTTTTCTGGTTGGAAGGCGCACTCATGTAGCCTTACCTTTTTCAAGTTTGAGAGGAAACAAAAAAAAAAGATGGGAGACATCAAGACAAAAAACACAACTGATACGCAGTCGAGTCTTCCTTTACCTTCCTGCTTGAATTCCCTAGTCTGCAATCAATCAGTAATCAATTTTTACAGTTTCAAACCATTAACACCATTAACCACACGGGCTGTGGAAATTTTGCGAATAAATTGACATCTTCTAGGCAATCTCAGGGTATGAAATTGATACGAGTTACGTCATAACCGTCAGGTAGACGCCCGAGTTTCCGTCCGGGACGGACCTGTGAACTACCAAGCGCAAAAAAACCTGGTTCCAAAAAGTCCTTAGCATGAATTTATCAGTAGTCAAGGGGTTGGTAAATTTTTTTCTGGTTGGAAGGCGCACTCATGTAGCCTTACCTTTTTCAAGTTTGAGAGGAAACAAAAAAAAAGATGGGAGACATCAAGACAAAAAACACAACTGATACGCAGTCGAGTCTTCCTTTACCTTCCTGCTTGAATTCCCTAGTCTGCAATCAATCAGTAATCAATTTTTACAGTTTCAAACCATTAACACCATTAACCACACGGGCTGTGGAAATTTTGCGAATAAATTGACATCTTCTAGGCAATCTCAGGGTATGAAATTGATACGAGTTACGTCATAACCGTTTGTGGTTGTTATAGCATCCACGAGAAACTCTTGATCGTTGAAGCAAACGGGATAGAGACTGAATGGAACAATGAATGGTTGCAATTCAGCCTGCCTGATCTCTTACTTGATGATGTAGACTTTGTGACTGCAAACGATCGGACCTTTTCAGCTGCTTTTTCTTGGCTAAAACGGAACTGCCAACGTTTGCTGAAGTAGCCAGGCATTCTGCAGGTGTGAGACAATATGAACTGGGAAATGCCTAATGTGAATACGACACTGGTTACACTTCTCCACCTGACTGCCCACTGATTCTTCCGGGAGCTGCCACATATCGGGGAGGCTGTACTAAGTGTCCTAAGAGGAACACAAGCCGAACTTGGCATGGCGAATTCAGTTGAAAATCACCATCAACGAGTAGTTCGTTTGATTCTCACATCGACACTCCCCTTAACTTGCAAACTTGTGTTGAACCACCTTTTCCAGAGCGTTGATTAAACAATTTCCTTCTCTTTTCCCAACTACTGACCCGTGTGATGAAAACTCATCGGCTCGGAATCGACGAATTAGTTTACGAACCGCGAACATCCCTAGCACTCATCAAATATCAGGTAACGGAAGCCTGAGCGCCAGTCAAGCAGTGACACACTTTCGAGCACAGTTCATCACCTCTGGCTAATTTTTGAAGAGTAAACTTGGCAAACAATTGACTGATAATTACTCTCGCCTCAGGGTTAATCCACACTTCCTTGACTCACTTCTCTGTTTGTTTTTGTTCTCCATTCCCGAACCAGGTACACCCTCCAATGCGTACTGCCGCTAAACATGTTTCTGGAGAAAATATACATATTCCTGTGGTTTTGGCATGTGGCCATAGCTATGATTACTCTGCTCAGTTTGTTGGTTTGGCTGTACCGCATGTTTGCCTCACATTCCAGAGTTCATTTTGTGCATTCGTATCTGAAACCCGAAAACACTGTTCCCTTACATTCGGCACTATTGGAGGAATTTGTGGACTGTTATCTGGGACATGATGGGATGTTCATCATACGATTGATTAGTACAAATTGTGGAGGTATACTAGCCTGCGACTTGGTAAATGAACTGTGGTCCGGTTACACAGATCCTAAACGTGAGGCGCTGGGCAAGCAAATGCCAGAGGACAAACGCATGTGGTGTTGCGGCCCCGTGGAGGGTGGAGGAGTTCACGATTGCAAAATGCTTCATACGGTCATCATACCGGAAAATTATCACCACACGTGGCTTCCCTTGAAGGGACCTCCCCTAGGTTCGGACAGTGTGGGGAACCTCCAAGCAGGCCCACTTGACAACGGATGTCACATTTGTCAAATGCTTCACCAAGATGTCGTCCGTCAAACGGGAGAATCTTCCTGGAATCTCATGCAACGGAACCTCACGCTTCCGGATCTCCATAATGGGTCTGAAAAAGCGCAAACAGTGGCCCACAGACAGCCTAGTCCTAACGCGGTTTCCACCTATGTGCACCCTCCTCCACTACGCAACAGTAATGGCGATGATATTGTTTAGCAAAACACAAAATCAAGTAATGGCTCCCACGTCAGAGGTTTCTGTGCCTCGGTACAACACACTGCTGCTCCATTCGCTAGATTAAGAAACACTATGATCTACTATTTACGTCTATTATAGATGACGTGTCGCAAAGTTCATGTTTTATTGCCACTTTATACGTGAGTTGTTCCTTATCAAATGGTTTATGTCTATGTTCGAAATGCACCCTGTAACTTTTGTTTCAAATCGTGTATACGATTTGGTGGGCTACAATTCTTTCGTCCTATTTTCCGTGTCACATGTTAACCAGGGCTTATTCATTCTGTCCGGAGAATTGTATGAATTTGTAGCAAGAGTCACGCGACAAGTCCTTTTGTGCTCAGATAACGATCCATCGTGCAACGAGTTCATAAACGACGTTTATTGTTACAGCCTGGAAGGACTGATCGCATCCCACTTACGACATACGACCCGACTACTCACGAGTAGCCAAACTCGCACACAAAAAACATGGTAGGACCGACTCAGGAAGGTCACCTACTTTATTTGAACAAGGAGTATGATATAATCGAACTAACCAGTCAAATTAATCAGGTTCTTAACTTAAGAAGGGAGGAACAAAAACGATTGTGGAAGAAACCAGTTCCTCGGAGCAGAAGATAGGTGCGAGAATAGGACACGACTGGAACTTCTCAGTTCATATTTGGGCCCTGAGCCATCTGGGTGTGTAAACCATCACGATTAAAACGACCAATTACTGGTGACATATCCAAAGTTGTCCCATGATAATGAGACTCTCAGAAAATGCCATCACGATAAAACGACCAATTACTGGTGACATATCCAAAGTTGTCCCATGATAATGAGACTCTCAGAAAATGACAGAAGAAATTTAAGGGAGTAACAGACAGTTAAAGAGGCCTTGGTGCCGCTCCAACCTGAACTGTTATTAACTGGGTGTCGGTATTGGACAGTTCGTCCCGTGAGTGAGACCAATCTATGCTGAAAAGCCGTGAAACATCGTATAACCCTTTCATCCATTTCGGAACTCATCCGGAGCTGAGACGCTGATCAGCAGTGTGATTAGCTAGTAATTAAACCGGATATAGCGCCACTAATCCTTTAGTAATGGACTCCACATCATGTGGTCACGTGTTATTGGTTCATCGAGTGATGACTTATCACAAGGAGGCTTCACCCGTCTTGTGGAAATGTTCTTTCTCTGAGCTACTTGTAGGATGTTGGTAGTACGAGGAAATATCGAAATTTATAATGGGGACTGCCCTGGAAGTGAAGCTCATCGATGCTGAAAAGCCGAGGAACTCGAACAAGTGGTGCTATAGGAAAACAGCGAATACAAAATACATCTGCAGAGGAAAAGACGAATGCAGCATTGGTTACATTTTACCAGTTCGTATTTGCCTTCGGATGTGAAAGCTAGGCTCAATGTTACAGTGGACAGTCCTGATTTGATAGTTGCCGGTAAGTTACTGTTGGCGTTCAAAGTAACCCAATTAGAATGTATAGCTTGCAAAACAGAACACTCTCGATTTGGATATTCGACTCTTCATCTTCTTTGCACGATCGAAAATCAAAAACCTCCAAGGTTTGCTAAACTAAATTCTTGCTATACAGTGGTATTAGAACTTAGCTCTCAGATTCAGACCAAACTTCAGCTAGTAGACAGTGATATCATCCAGCGTTTGAGGTTTGTTTCTCCAGTCCAGTATGCCATAATTTATCGACTAGCGGGTAGTGTGTCCACGCGTGTTGCACATCAGAAGCTACTGTCACGTGACTGATTGACTGATCGATCGAGGCTTCAGGTAATGATTTGATTGGCTAAAATGCCTGGCGCAATGCACTCCAGACAACATCTCACAGAACTGCCCAATGTGCTTCGATATAGACGTCAGAGGAATACTGAATGCAGGCTAGTCACCACTGAAGTGAAGTGTGCTCTGATCAACCTTTTGTTTGAAAACTCCAAGGCCATAATGCTTACAACGCACGTGACGTGCAGTGGAAAAAAAACGGGTACCCAGTCTAATTAGTTGAGTTTGTCTCTTGAACAGCACCACGTATCTTTGTCCACTAGTCATTCAGGCGTTAGCATTACGGACGACCTAACTCAATCAATAACAAAGGTCGTATTTGTTAGTCTCAAATCAGTTTGTAAAAGACGAATGTCGATTTCATATCTCCGATGTTTTTCTAACGGAAGACTGATTGCCCTGATATTATCCGGCTTGTTTGCTTACGACATGGTGTTAGGCTTACAACTCCTCGAAGATCGTGGTAGATTCGATGCTTTACCGTGCGGTTCAAATGGTCCCAAGTGCATTGTACTCATTGGTTAGGGCTCAAAGTCGGATACGAGAAGATTCCTCTTGGCGAACTAACAAACACACGGTTTGTGCAAAGTTATGTAAACAAGATTCAGTTGCAATCAGATTTTCACCCACCTGGACTGAACCGTAACATCGAAGCTTTGCTGGCTTTTGGACAATGGGAAGCAAATTCGATAGGGAAGCCTTACCGAAGCCCAGTACACATAAACACGGCGAGTTGGTTCGTTGTTGCTTTTGGCGCCGTTATAACCATCAAAACGCTGAAACATTCTTATCAGATCATGTTGTAAGATTCAGCACAGGAAACTGTTGAACATCAACTACTAAAGGAACACAAATCAATGTGCGATGAATTATTTGAATTTAACCGTTAAAGAACAGCCAGAATTTTGTGGTGAACACAGAAACGGAGTTTGTTTACTCAGAGCAATGTAAGCAACTCAGTTGCTTACGTATTTATTCTAAGAATTAGATTCATGGACTGACATAGGGATTTCTCAGTAAAGTTTATGCCCACCAATGAAATGGGAACGATTCACACTAATGCTTCGTTCTCGGCCCTGCTTTGGAATTTTGCTCCATTATCGTGCGGGCCGGGAACGCGTGCGTTCCGCAACATCGTTTTTGTGGAAA